GCACTGCGACAGATTTTTCATATTAGTAGGGTCTAGATTCTCCATTTTTGCTAGGTTTCCATTGAGAAGGGTTGTGTAAAGCTGTCTTTAATATATTTTAGTTATACATACTATAGTTTTGTTTCCCAACTCAGTACAGTAGGACATCTAATTGTAGATTTTCTTGTCAAGCCTGTCAGAATTGGCTTTAGGAACTGAGAGAAATGGATTTAAGGATTACAGGTTACAAGTTCCTACATTAACTGAAGAGCACAGCTACATGGTAAAGAGAAATGTCTGAACTCCCAATTATTCCAAGGTAACTGGAATTATGTGCCCCCACCCTGTTTTTACCCTCCCCTTAGAAAATAACAGATCTTGAGAGTTTAGGGAAGTGAGGGTTATAATGATTAAATCACTTAGTACTATAGACATACTTGAACATTTCTTAATTTTATTAAATTTTGGAATACAAAAAAGCTACTGCTACCTTCAATGAGAATTACAGAAGGAATAATTGAATGAACCATTAAAAGTTAAAATTTGGTCCATGTGGCAAGTTACAAACCCAAAATATAACATATCACACATATGTGTGTGTGTGTTTTTTGGTGTTTGTGTGTGTTTGTATGTGTACCTGGCCTTTAATTTGCCTTATAGGCTTAATATAGAAAGCAAAGTTCAAGGCTGCATGAATGCAAATGCTAAAGGATACAGAAGACTTTGAAAAAAATATTTTTGAAAAAAATACAAAACACAGCTTTTATATTCCATTTTTATATTTTAAACAGTAAGTTTCTAGACCTTGTGATAAGATTTCTGAAATCTTTGCTTTTAATTGTTCTTTTCTCTTATTCTTGATCTACTAGAATTAGGTCAATATTTTTTTTAATTTTAAATGTAACTAAATATAAACATGGAATTAATAGGGGCTAGAGAATTTAACTTCTCATTAAGAAACTATTTCAACCTCCAAATGAAGGTTTTTTAAAAAAATACCAAACAAATAAGTAATATAATCATATCGCTTTTAACCTTAACTTGAAAACCACCAGTGCTGTGAAAAAAAATATCAGAGTATTCATTAATCCAAAATTATTAATGAGGAAGTCTATCATCAGCTTCGTTAAGGGGTTTCAAAAACGAAAACAACTTCGATAAATAGCATACCACGAAACACAATTCTTCAAAAAAACCCAACCCCATAATTATTCTTTGTGGAGGAAACAGTAACTTAAGCCAGGCAATATTTAACCACCAACACTAAAGCTCTCAAGTGCAGTTAGAAAACATAATGTTTAAGTGTCCTCCAAAATGAATGCAAAGCAGGAATAAAAAAAAAAAAAACAGGGTTTCCAAAGATAAATATTTTCATGATCTTTTATCAAATCTCTTTCAAAAAAAACATACCAGGTTTTAAGTGCCAAGAGCTAGTTTTAGAGAACAATGACACAAATCTATTGCATCACATTCTTTATCTTCAGTGTGGAATCTTTGCAACTTAAGTATACTTTCTACTTACAAATACAGATAGTCCTCAACTTACGACTACAATTGAGCCCCAAATTGTCGTTGCTAAGTGAGGCAGTTAAGTGAATTGCCTCAGTTGCTAAGTAAATCACCACAGTTATTGAGCAAGTAATACGCTTGTTAAGTGAATCGGGCTTCTCCATTGGCTTATCAGAAGGTCGCAAAAGGGGATCACATGACCCTGGGGACACAGCAACTGTCATAAATGTGTGTTACCCAGTTGTCAAGTTTTTGCATTATGTTCACATGACTATGAGGATGCTGCGACGGTCGTGTGAAAAACGGTCCTAAGTCCCTTTTTCAGTGCCATTTTAACTTCAAATGGTCACTAACGAACTGTTGTAAGTTGAGGATTACTTGTAGCTATTTTAAAGGGTAAATCTTCACACTACTCTGAATGTTAAAGACATTTCAAAAATAAGTTTATAGCTGTATTATGTTTATCCCATGTTTAAAATTATGCATACCCTCCATTGCTAAATTAAAACTTATTGCAATGAGTGCTATACAGACCATCAGCATTAATACATAATATAGAATTATGAGTGGTCTTTAAGGAGTAAAACTGCAAGGCCTAGGCTGAAAACATAAAACATTCACTGTTCAAACTGAGCACTTAAATGGCACTTAAATGATATGCCATCAACCACTCTCTTCAAAATTGATAGGTCCATAATAAAATGGGTGAGATCAAACATTCCTGAAATAAAGTTAACGTGATTAAACTTACTGAATATATGGGGAATGCTCTGTGTGCTTGTGTGCACCTTCAAGTCAGTGTTGTCTCCTAGCAACTGACTGAACTAGTTGCTGTGGTTTTCTTGGCAAGGCTTTTCTGAAATAATTTGCCATTGCCTGCTTCCTAGTACTGAGAGAGAGAGGGACTGGCCCAAGACCACCAGGCTGCTTTTTTTGACCCAGTTGGTTTCTTGGTGGGTAACCTAATGCTACAAACTATTACTGATGTTACAAATTACTATTGCACCAAACTGACTTTTCTACAAAGAGTAACTCACATTAAAAATAACAATTTGGTGGCAACTTCTACAGGCATATTGGGTCTTCGGCCAAGCCTTTGTGGATGGTACAGGGAAACTGGGAAACATTACACTTCGGAAAACTTTACAAGCCAACACTTTCCAGTTTCCAATTCTAATTACAAAGTTTTATAAAAATTAGAAGGCTGAGAATATTTTTTTCTCAGTTTTACAATTTGTTTGTAGAATTCACCACAAATAAAAGTTGCTGGATTCCAAAACTGTATAGTTTTATGCATAACACACACACACAAAATCATAACTGAAACTCATAATGTAACACCTGTAATATAATGCAAGTTTCCTGAACCTCATATTCTCAATATAAATGGGTTTTCTCATAAAGTAATTGTTATCCAGGGTGGTCGGTTTAGGAAACTGCTATAAAGTAAGCAAGAAAAAGAATGAATGACAATACACTTCATCCCTACATTCACAGAAGCAACAGAACTAGTAGCCACATCCATGCAATTCATCCAAATAAGGGGAAAAAAAGTACACTGCAATGAAAAAAAATCCAAAATCATATATGCAGTAAAAATGAAAATCTCCTATAACTTTACATTTGCTTAATTGTGTGAATCTTTGACTATCTGCTTAATAAATATCAAATACTCTAATAAATACCATAAATTAAATAAGTCTCTTCCTGCCCATAACCCCATTTTGTTCTGCAAGGCAACTTTATTCTGTTATCTTCATCCATGCAAAGTCTGCAGCATAGTGGAAGGGTGCCTAGTTTTTCCACCAACCTTCTTCAAACATTTTCAATACAACAGTTTGACCTTCCGCAAACACCACACAATGATTTAAAAGCACATTCTGTACTACTTTCATGGGCCAGTCATTCCTTAGCATTAAGAGATGTTTCCAGACATTAGAAGTTTAATCTTAATTCTCTAGCATCAGCTTGAGTTCTAATTCAGCATCATAGAATAAAAACTTAGTAAGTCCAAAACTGTCCATCCAGAAATTGCCTTGAGATCAATGGCTCTTTTGACTCAATGTGCATGCATTATTCCCCTACTTCATTTGAATTATTTCTTGCATTTTCTTATCTTTTTGCCCACTGTGCGTGATCCTCAAATTACAAGACTTTACTTGTAAATGTTTACTCTTCTACCCACATAATTATTGAATAATTAGGGAATCAGTAATGCATAAACCATTTCAAATGAATTTTGGAAACTATGAATTCAAGGATTTCTAATGGTTTAATCATCTTGTTTTACACTATGCAATCATAAAGACCTGAAGAAAAAAAGACCTCATATTAATGAACATTTTGCAGAGCCAATCACTTGGCATATGGGAGAATACAACAATAAGACCCTATGGACATAATATATTTTACTCTTTGTTCTTCATTCAATCTTCTTTACTCTGATGACCCTGGTGTTATGATTTTGACTCCACGAGATTTGCCAGGTAGGAATTCTGAAAGTTGTTAATTCCAATACATTTGGAAGGTTACTAATTAAGAAAGGCTACAGCAGAAGACCCATTTTTTCAATTTCTCACATCCACCGTACACTCAAATCTTTTCAGAGATATTCACATATGACATGCAAATGTGTAGAAGCTGCTGCCTTATGGCCTTATTCCATATAGCCGAATGTGTGTCACAATATTTCAGCCTTAAAATTCCTTCCCTATATTTTATCCAACTAGAAAGGTGCCTGACAGCTAGATTAGCAGATTCCAATCTAGCTCTCTTTGCAGGTTACTGCATTCAGTACCGAATAATTTTTGAGGCTCCACATAAATTGGGGTTTGGCCACACAGTACACAAAGCTGCCATAACATACTGTATGTTGTCTCTCCATCAGATGATATTGATAGGAATCTAAACATGTATGAACATGTTTAAATTTTTTCTTTGAAGTGGCAAAATCTCACAGAATTACCCCAAGGTAAGCAAAGTGGGAAAATAATGGCACATTGCCACAAGTCCCTAGTTTAAAATGGTTCTGGGATCTATTACAGTAGCTTTTCTACATACAATACTGTACCTAGTTATGCTAAATGACTAATTCTTCACAGTTGCCATTCATAGCATGAATGACCATCTAAATCCAACTTGAACATTATTTCTCAGTAAAAAATAAAAATAAAACATATGTTTTAACGGATAATTCTTGGCAGACTTTTCTATAAAAAATACAGCAGCTATTACAGCAGATACATCTCTTCACTATACTTTTAAAAGTTCTGAGGGTAGCCCCCTTCAACTTTTGACAGATGCACGTAACCTTAAAAGAAAAATGTTTTAAAAACTGTTATGTGAAAAAGAATTAGAAAGGCAGGTTGTTTCTTCATGCCCAACCTTCAGTATACTTGTTCTTCATGTTCCAATTTATTCCTTCAGTAATGAAAACTTTGTTTCAGTAACAATTTAAAATGAATAATGTACATGGAAACCAACAACATGCACTATGAGAACATGCCACTTACCAGAGGCATTGGCTATGGTGAGAGGGAGCCCTTGCAGCTGATGAACTTGGATGCCAGATCCCAGGGCCCCAAGGTTGATGGTCTGAAGGCCCGGTACAGAGGATAGCTGAGCGGCATTTACAGTGACTGTGCCACTGGGTAGAGAGGCCGAAGCTATCGGTGTGAGTGTTGTGCTGGTGCTCCCCGTCTGCCCCAGGGACACCCCCTGCACGGGAGCCAAAGCGATTGTCTGAGCTTGCGGATTTTGGACCTGAAGGTTTTGAAGTTGAATAGTTTGCCAGCTGACTTGTCCATTTGGCCCTACAGTGGGCGTTCGAATGAAGATCGGACCAGTGTTGGGGAGGGCCTGGATCTGCAGGTTCTGCAGGGCATCTTGAGGAGCAAAGGTCTGGCCGCCTTGTCCTCCTTGAACAAGTTGAGGCTGCACTAGGATCTGCTGCTGCTGCTGCTGCTGCTGCTGGTTTTGATCAATATCTTTCTGTTGTCCTTGTTGGACTGCAACTTGCACAGCATCGGCATTCTGAGTGCTGTTTGTCCTCCCTGGCGCCTGCACCTGAACGTTTGTCCCCACACTGCCGCCAGTAGAAAAATTCATGATGCCCAAATTACTGGTGGTGGTAGTGGCACTGTAGTTGTTAGCATTGGTGAAAAAACAGGCGGTATTGCCTTGAGTCGCAGCCATACTTGAGGAACTGATTGACGTGACAGAAACTGTCTGAGCGCTATTCTCCGGAGAGCTAGAATTGCTTAGAGTAACTGACTGAGATGTGGGGGCCAAACTGGCAGCAATGCTGTTGACAGGCAATAAGGTGATATTGCCGTTCAAAGCCAGGGGGACGTTAGTGACATACTGGGTTTGCCCTGAGAGAGCATTTACTCCCTGAATGGGGACAGCCTGCTGCAGAAGATTTGGCATGGCAGCCAAGATATTGCCTGTGCCAGACCTGTTTGTAATGAGCTGTTGGTTAGTTCCTGGAATTATCTGCAGTTGGCCAGAGGCATCTTGCTGGACACTCACTTGAGTGGGAGCAGTGGTAAACTGCAACTGTTGCCCATCCACAGTTTGAAACTGGGGAATCACCTGATACTGAATATTCGGCAACATCCCTGATAAGCCCGTCAGAACTTGTTGGTTCTGCATATTTGGGGTGGCAGCAACCACATACTGCCCAGTGGTGGCAGCTCGGTTTTTGGATGATGAATCGTTGTCTTCATTGCCGCTATTCCCCAAATCTTTGGGAGAATCAGACGTTCCAGGAGCAGTGGAAATTATTTGCCAGCCATTTGCACTTTGGGAGATTTGAGTTGCAGCAGCAAGGTCCAGTTCACTTGAGCCTCCCTGTTGCCCCTGTAAACCATCAGAGTTCTCATTGGGAGATTCAATCCTGCTGCATGTGGCTGCTAGCAGGGCCAGAGGAGAAGGCTGAGACTCCTGTCAGGAAATAAAGAACAAGACAGGAGGAGTCAAGTATCTGGCCATCCCAGATGACAGTAGAAAACAACAGCAATTGGGAAGGAGCATAAGAAAGAAGGCAATTAACAGAAGATTTACCAATCTCCTAAAGCAGGGACTGTACACACTGGTCTAACCAACATAACACATTAACAACCAACATCTAATAAAATAAGCATCCCGTCACTCAGGTTAGACTATTTTACTCAAAAATATTCACTTTGAACTTGCATTAAACAATTTTACGCTCCAACAGTATTTCATGAGGAAGTACAGAAATACTTCTAAAATTTTGATGAACCCTTAACCTCCAGATGTTGTGAATGCTTCAACACTGGAAGTTTTTAAGATGGGATTGGACAACCATTTGTCTGAAATGGTATAGTCTCCTGCCTGAGCAGGAGGTTGGACTAGAAGACCTCCAAGGTCCCTTCCAACTCTGTTACTCTGTTAACCTAACCTGTCTTAAATTTACTCATCCCCTAACTCAAGGACCATAAGATTATTATCACTTTTTCAACTGTGCTTTAACTATAGAGGATTGCAAAAATATTGAAGATTTTTTAAAACTGCAAAAATGAGCAATCAACCTTTTTCAAAGAAAAAGAAGAGAATGTTCCATCACCACCTATATTAAAAAACAAAGGTATCTTTCTACTGCAAATTGAGATATTTTATCCCCCAACCCATCTCTCCTTCTTAAAACTCTTACTTACCTGGGCCTCGCAGTTTCCTCCATCATTACTGCAGCCTTCATCCACCTTCTCAGTCTTGATAACAACCATGTCTTGTGAAATATCATGATCTGCGTGGAAATTAGAGGGTAAGAAAGAAAAAAAGAATACATGAGTTAAATAAATTATATAAAGCACGAGGAAGTAGAAAGGCTCACAGCTTATTTAGAAAAAATAGCATTAGATCATCCCATGCTATGTAGCATACAGGTAGTCCTCGATTTACAACAGTTCACTCAGTGTCCATTCAAAGTTACAGTGGCACTGAAGTGACTTATGACCATTTTTCACACTTATGACCATTGCAGCATCCCCATGGTCATGCAATTTACATTCAAATGCTTGACAACTGACTCACATTTATGATAGTTGCAGTATCCCAGGGTCATGTGATCACCCTTTGCAACCTTTTGACAAGTAAAGTCAATGGGGAAATTGGTTTCGCTTAACAGCCATGTTATTGATTGTACAACTTCAGTGATTCACTTAACAAACATGGCAAATGTGGCAAAACTCACTTAACAAATTTGTCACTTAGCAACATACATTTTGGGCTCAGTTGTGGATCATAAGTTGTGGGGATTGGGCAGCAAGAAATCTCCAGCATTTTTTATTTAAAAATACAGGTTTAAAATTGAAGGCCTTTAGCAGAAGTTAAATAAAGTGGCACACTTAACAGAAAGTAAAGCATTATGACTATAGATTATGCATTTAAGTGATATACTTTGGAATACACACGTACACACTGCATTTAGAATTGTCTTTAAAATAATCTAGCACCATAATGAACTAACCATAGTTAAAGTCCTTAAGAGGAAATGTGGTAAAGAGAACATAGAAATATAAAGTGTCAATAAAGACAGTGTAATCTACTGAGCAAATCAAATGTAACTTCAAAAATCCTATGCTCACATTTTTAATAAACAATAAACAAGCCATTTTACATGACTGTTTAAATAATGAGAAAGGATATGATATACTACTGTATTCTCCAATCTCTTTGAATAAAGGCCAAGATGCAAGTACAACGAATAACTATGATTAAAATTTAAAGAGCAACTTTGCATTAGCATCCCGAATAAACTGTATGCACTGCTCATCAACAAGGAAAACAAAGTGGGGCAGTGTGATCATGAAGAATTGTTGTCAACAATAAGTAAGAATAAAATACCGAGAAACAGAGGCTTTTATGACCAAATCAGATTTTACTATTAATTGCTACAGTACACATTCACAAACATTCATGAAAAGAAAACATCCCAGGAAAAGGTCAGCATCAAAATTGCTAGGTGTATATCTGTATTGTGTCATATTTACAGCCTTCTCCCTCACCCCACACTGCCTCGGCCACTTCCTCAAGCCGATGATGCAAAAACCAACCTGATTTGAAGCCTGGTCAACGCATATTAAATAAATACCAGAGATCTGTTTACAGCTTTTTTTTTTTTTTTGGCAGTCTCTCTTAACAAGGGTTTTTCTGAGGTAAAGGCGGCTACACTCATTAAAAAAAAAAAAAAGAACCTATCTGTCATGAAAATACTCGTTTTCTCTGAAGAGTTGCTATTATTCCTTCACCCCCCCCCCCCCCCCCAAAAAAAAACAGCTCCATTTTGGCTCCACTCTTCATGCAGAACAGGGCAAGGCCTAGGACAGGGGCTTCTCTGGGTAAAAAGGCAGGTGCAAAACGCATCTCTGAAGGCTGGGAGGAAAAGGGGGAAGTAGTTGCATGAGTCACTCCCCAAACTTCTGACTCGCAGCTGGTTCGACAAGGAGTTCTGCACCCAGCGCACACAGAAGCAAAGCCTGCCAAACGTAACGATTTCCTACTTTAAAATTCCTCTCCCAACAAAGGGCTTTTTTTTTTTTAAGTGGCCCGGCATCCCACACGCCAATGTTAATAATAATAATGAAGGGGGAAGGGGAGACGCCGCCGCCGCCTCCCTTTGCATCGGAATCTGAGAGAGGGAGAAAAGAGGCCTAGCCTAATCGTTGTGGAGTTGCCCCTGCGGGTTTGCATTTCTTTTTTCATTTCTTTCCCCTCCCCCACCACACACCCTTTTCCCCCTCCCCCCCCCCAAGAGCAGAAGCAAAGTTTCGACCGAAAGGCGGATTTCTTCATATTTTGGGCACGGTACCAAACAAGGCCTTATCGTTTCTCAGAAGTGCCTCCGGCCTTCCTGGGAAGCCAACGCAGGGCCTCTCCGGAACTGCAAGTTTGGCCCTTTCCCCCCTCCCCCTTTCAACCGGGAGAGAGGCACTTTGCACATGGCCCGAAGCCGCCTCTCTCCCTCCAAGGATTCAAGGCAGTGGGGGATGGGATGGCGGAATAGGAAGGGAGGGCACCATATACATACACACAGAGGCTTTTTAAACGTTTCCCTTGCTACTTTCTCTCCTCCTCCCTCCTTCTCCGGCCTCGCCTGCGTCTCCCTCCCAACCTCGGACAGCAGCAGCAGCAGCACCCGAGAGAGGTAGACGGAGGCTCCATCGGGCTCTGCTGCTTCTTTCCAGCGGAGAAATTCCAGCCCCCACCTGGTCCCGCCCGATCCTCCTCCTTCCTGAGGCAGCTTGCCCTCCCTTCCCATGGCCGCTTCCTCCACCCTCCATCGCAAGCCCCGCTCCCCTTCTCGGGGCCCCTCCCCCAAAAGGCTTCCCCTACCACGGCTCCTGTGGCTGGCTTCCCCTCCCCAGAATCGTTACCCCTCCCCCGTTCGGATCTCCCCCCCGCCCGGGGGGCTGGTCTGGGCGGGGCGGGAAAAAGAGAAAGAAGGCGGCGCCCCCCGCCCGGCCACGATGGTCCCTTCCTTACCGCTCATGTTGCCTGACGGGGAAGGCGAACCTAAGTGGTGCCGGAGGGGTGGGCGGGGCGGGGGCAGCGAAGTCGGTGACGAGACAGCCTAACCCCACCGGTGACCGCCAAAGGGTTGGCGAAGGGAGGGAGCTGCGCCGACACGGCCCAAGCCCAGGGACACGCCTCCTGCCGCTCTGCCCAATCACGAAGCCTGAAGGAAACTCCGGAAGGCGGTACTAGCAGTGAATGACGTGTCCTCCGACTATTCAAGCAAAGCAAGGCGGGGTTTGCCGCGGGAATGATGGTGGGGAGGGGAGGGGGGGAAAGAAAATTGAAACAGATTACGAAGAGCTCGGTGGTGGCACTCCTTCCAGGAAACGCCTCTGGGTGAGGCTCCGCCCCCTGGAGAGAGGTGGAGCTTCGACCTAGCGTTCGAGTAAGACGGGCGAGGAAAGGACGAAGAGACAGGAGTAACTGACGTCGCGGTCTGCCAATCGGCTGTCGCGCGAAGTTTCGGAAGCTTCGCGCGTATGATGAAATCGTACCACTTGACTCGTGACCGACCAGCTTGTAACCCAATCAGAGCTCGAGAAGGCCGCGAGAGGTTTTCATGAAAGGAAAAGAAGGCGGAAGCAGGACAGGAAGTGACATGCGCAGCGGCTACGGAGAGCCTATTTGAGGGGAAAAAGGCCCTTCCGAGCGATTAAGCGTTGACACGAAGGGCAGCAACAACAGGGAGGCGGAAACCCGCCTACTCCAATGAGAGACGTGGACGGCCTTAAATTGGCCAATGGGGGATGACGGAGCTCGTGGGCCTTAGCAAAAAGTGACGGATGTGGTGCCATTTTAGCTCGGATGTGGAAAGAGAGGTTCCGCTTTTGCCTCCATTTAATGAAAGTCTTATGTAACGCCTAGAGACGCTTGAGCTTTCTGGGAATCGGTGAAATGGGGGTTGGCGTCAGGCCACCGATTCAGTGGTTTCGCTAGAGTTTCTCTCTCACACCTGTCAGTGCAAGGAAGGTGTTAAAAAAAAAACGGATTGGTGTGCAGAGTACTTAAGCTTTTGCTTGCTCCTGTCAGTGAAACACGCATTTTTCAAGAAAATAATAAACGAAATAAGTCTCGTTCAGGGCCACTTTTCACATGTTGAAAGATATTGTTTATACACTGATACACAACACATTCGATAACATAAGTTGCTCATGCTATAAATCAGGTTGCAGAATCTTCACAAATGTATGATCACTAGCTCAAAAATGATGCTTTATTAGATATGTGTATAATAAAAGTGAACTACAGGCAGTCATCGACTTAGTGTTCACTTAGTGACAGGCTACAAAGTTACTGTCAAAGTTACAACTGAAAAAAGTGACATGACCGTTTTTCACAGTTGTGACCTTGGCAAAACTCACTTAACAAATGTCACTTAACCACAGAAATGTTAGGTTCAGTTGTTTTCGTAAGTCGAGGACTACCCGTACAAAGGAAACGAACACGATAGGTCACTGAATGTTAATATATTTACATTTTAAAAAGTGTAAAAAAGATTTTTCAATCATTTAGTCTACAGCGTTTTTCATTAATCATTATTTTAATAATATTTTAATATTAGTTCTAGTAGTAGATATATAATAGTTTTCCAAATTCAGTGCCTACAAAATACTTCAAGCTACAAAAAATGATTTTGGGCTCTGCATGCAATCCCACTTGCTGTGGTTTAAGATCACTGTTCCTTTGGCCTCAGAAAAGTGCCAGCGGATACTTTTCAACCCAAATCCTCTGCCCTATGTTTATTATTATTATTGGTTAATCTTTAGTGAGATTCACAGTCTTTGGGGCTGGTTGGTAGCTCAACAGCTTGAGTCCTAACCAAGAACCTAGGAACTGTTCAGGTAGCATCGGAGGATATAAGCTGTTCCAAGTAGGGTGGTTTTTTGTAGAGTCAGGGAATTCAAGTCTGATTATTATTATTGTTTGTTATCATCATCATCATCATTATTATACGAAGACAAAGGAATCCTGCCTCAGTAAAGGAAGAGAAAAAAAAAGGCAAATTTGATTGCCTTTGAAAGCCAGCGCATAGGATATTTGAAAAGTCTCTTGCATAAAAGGGGAAGGGGGAGATTCTTGCCCCTCCCTGCAATTCAAACTGAGGCACAGAGCTTAGCCTTGCACATTCACTCCTGGCCTCAACATTACTTTGCTTTATCACAAATCCAAATTAACAGTCTTTATATTGATGGGCTTCAGGACTTCAAATAACCATCTTTTTACTATTCTGTATCCTGTACAGATGCAGATAGATAAGCTCCACAAAACATCCATAACAAAGTACTTTTATTGGTTCATCAGATATCCTCATAACTCACATTTGTGACAAAGTTCTTCTTTAATGACCAATCCTTTGCATATCTGTCTTGTAGGTAAAAAGATGGTTTATCTCCTATCCTTTTTCTCCTATCTTGTAACGATAGAAGTAGAACAGTTACCACGAGTCCATGAGTTCAGCCAAGAGAGAGGAAAACTCCCCCAACCCATCGAGGGTCAATTTAGTGACCAATTAGGATTACAGATGTGGTCACGTGACATGGACTACATTTCCCAGGATACCTTAACTACATTTACCATGATGCATTCCCTTAAGGCAGGGGTGTCAAACACAAGGCCCGCGGGCCAAATCCGGCCCGCCAGACCTCGTCTGATGGCCCGCGGTGCCGCCGCCAGCCTTGCAGCTTCCCCCTTTTTTTTTCAATGAATTTACTCCGTGCCTGCACGGAGTAAATTCATTTTAAAAATGGCTCAAGTTAAAAAAAAAAAAAATTTACTTACCTTCCGGGACCTGGCCCGACTTCTTCCTGCCCCGCACTGCTCCCTGGGTGTCGGACATGACGTCATCACGTGACGTCCGCCCGACATCTCCAGGGATCAGAGGAGCGCGCAGACGCCGCGGAGAGGAGCAAGAAGAAAGAAGTAAAAGAAAGAAAGAAGTAAAAGGTAAGTAAAGTAAATGGAGGGGGCAGATGGCTGGGCACTATAAAAGCGAAGTTCCAGGATGCGACAGTCGACGACTTTTACCGTCTCCTCCCCCCTGCTTTGATGCCACAGCTCCGACTTCAAGCTGCACATGTTCTGTCCATGTTTGGGAGCACTTATCTATGTGAACAGATGTTTTCAGTCATGAATCTGAACAAGACCAAGCTCAGATCACGCATCACTGATGATAACCTCCATGCTGTTTTGCGGATTGCTACAGCACAAGACCTAACGCCAAACATCGATGGACTGACCTTAGGAAAACGATGTCAGCCATCTAGTCAGTAAAGTTAAAAAAAAGGTAATGCCTTGTGTTTTCCATATGTTTAATAAACAGTGTTTGGCAATATTTGTATGTTTAAAAAAAAATTAATGTTTGTTACCAAAAAACATTTTTCAATACATTGTACAATAATTGTACATTTGAATATCTACTTGTCATTATTCTGACTATGTTTCTGCTTTCAGAGCTAGTTATTACTTACATTATTACAAAAAACAGTAATAATTGAATGCAGTGACATTAATTTATGATAATAAAGAGTGGACACATAGACCTACAGATACAACCGGCCCTTTGATGGGGACCAAACTGCTGATGCGGCCCCCGATGAATTTGAGTTTGACACCCCTGCCTTAAGGGAACAGCTCACAATTGCTACCTAACTATCCAATTCCCATACACTGGCTGGACAGCACAACAACAACAACAATAATAATTTATTATTATTATTATTATTATTATTATTATTATTATTATTATTATTATTATTATTATTATTATTTGAATGGGAACTTAGAATACTGCAAATAAAACACTCTCCAGAAGCATATCCTGTATTTCCAATAATGTTTTTTGTGCATTTATAGATCTCGAAGGGTTTCTTAAAAATAAATGGTAGGTGGCTGCACAGGTTCAAATAAACTATACATATTTAATAGGAAAAGCAATAACCTGCCAAAGTGTCTCCCTCCACGGATCAATTGACAACTTTTCTATAATACAGTAAATGGGGAAACTTGTTGGCCTTATGTCATATAAACTAGGATTGTATTTTCAGTGTCTTAAGTACAGTAGTTAAATGTCAGAGTGAAGCGTGGAGATCCAGGTTCAGAATTCCCTAATGAAATGTGAGACAACTTTGAATCAGTAACCATATTTCAGTTTCCCAAAGGTGCTTTTTCAAGAGGCAACTGGACTTCCTTGTTTTTCTTTGAAGACATTTCGCTTCTCATCCAAGAAGCTACTTCAGCTCTGAAATGAAATATCTCCAAAGAAAAGCAAGAAAGTCCAGTTGCCTCTTGAAAAAGCACCTTTGGGACAACCATGACCTGGATGACTGAGGATCTCCATAGACATATTTCAGTTTGTTTTTACTTGAAAAGTCAAGTATATAAAACAGAATATAAAGATCTATATATGCTTCCGGTTCTTTGAAGGAAATATGGGAAATAAAGTTTATAAATAGAGGAATATGAGACCCAATTTTCTGTAGTGGTTAAGACATCAGGCTAGAAACCAGGGGACTGAGTTCTAATGCCCTTTAGACACAAAGTCAGCTGGCTGACCTTGGGCTAGTCACTTTCTCTATTTATTTGTTTATTTGTTTACTTACTTATTTATTGAATTTACATTACCGCCTGTTTGCCATGGTGACTCAAAGCGGCTTACAGAATATAAAACTACATTTAAAACAATA